TGTTGCAAGATGGGACCAGTCCTTAGAGAATGACATTATGCTTGAGAGGGTGGAGGGACAGCACAAGAGAGGAAGACCCTGAAGGAGATAGATTGACTCAGTGTCTAGGGAAATGGGGATAGGTGAGTCAGAGACAATAAGCTTGGTTCAGGAAAGAGCAGGGGTCAGGGCTGTTGTACATAGAGTTTGCTATGAGTTACAAGTGACTTGATAGCACACAACAACAACAATTTTTTTTTAAGGAAAAAAAAGAAAGTGGCTTAGGTAGCTCTGGTGGTTTAGAGGTAAGGATTGTACTGCCAACCCAAAGGTACGATGTTTGAATCCACCAGCTGTTCTGCGCAAGAAAGAAAATCTCCTGTGAGATTTACTTCCTCTGAAAACCTGCTGAAAGGTCAGTTTGAGTCAGTTCTGATTTGTCAATCTCAACAACAACAACAACATTATCTTAAAGTAGAATGTCTGGTTGTGCCAGCATATGAAAGATAGGAAAAAGTAACTAAACTTGAGGGTGTGTAGCAAGTTGTAGAAGGTTTGAAAAGAAGTGCACTCACTTCATTTGTCTCAGTTTTTAGAAAGAAACAATGAAATGTTTTGCATTGTCTTCACAAGAGGTATTTTCAGGTGGACCAAGTGTTTTCCACTTTTTAACTGTTTTTATTCTTATTCATGGTTCTATAAAGGTAATAAAATAAACTGAAGTGGCCTTGAATGGCAGCGGATAGAGCCTGCAGCTCTTAACTGCTAGCACCCCCTAGATAAAGACAGTGCAGGGGCTCTGTACACGGTGGCTGCCGCCTGAGGACTCGTGCTACAGTAACTACTAGATATTGGACCTGTGTTTGAGACTACCACCGAATACATCACTGATTTGTAAAAACACATGAAAAAGTGGCTAGAGAACTGATGGCTAATCTGTCATGGCCGTCTTGTCTTGACTCCTTCCCTTCTGGCTGGCAGGGCCTGTGTTGGGTTTTGGATTTTCCTGGGAATAGGATTGTTTAGCTTTGCTGTGCCTTATGGCTCCAGCTGCAAGATGCTGCCTGGCCTATCAACCTAGCTTTAATCCTCCCCTTGGGACTCTCAGGGACTTTGTGGAAGAAGGGGGCATACGGGCATGCCAGATTATAAAAGGCAGCCTCCAGGAGTTTTAGAGGATTGCAAAGGGACTGTCTTTTTTTTTCCCTAGGCTGAATCTGGCTATGTGTCTGCTTGTTGTTAGTTCATTTCTGTTTGCTGAGTCACTGTCATATCCTTCTAAGGTGGTCTTCAATATGGTGAGGGAGGGCCTGGTAACGTGCCAGCTAGAGCCCAGTCACCTCAGCATGTATCCTTTTCAGAAAATCCTTACGCCTCCATCATGGAATTGCTCTCCTCCTTCTTTGGTCTCATAATGCCTTAGGACAAATGTCTAGTTCTGTGGTCTGTGGACCAAAACAACACCCTAGCTTCCTCAGCTTTTAGGTACAGTCCTTCTCAGGCATGTTTCTGGTGCTATTTCCTAGAGCTTCCCTGCAGGATAAATCTTCCATTATCCTCTGTAATAGCTGATTTCATAGTGTGCACTGATTTCTCATTTTTCTAATAGCATTCCTTACATTTTCCAAATAAACTATTTTCACTCCAGTCTCAATCTCAAGGTCAGCTCCTGGAAGAACTCACATGAAGATACATGTTGTTCCTTTTGGAAACACTAATTCAGAAAGTGACCGAACTTAAGCTATCTATCATGTTCTCCCCGTTTCCTCAGTCCTCTTACATTGCGTTTGCATATACACTATGTGAGGGGCAAAGTCTGTAAGGATAGAAAGCACTACTTTTATGTCTTCAGATCTTTCTGAGACGTGGAATCATGAATATTTAAAATTTTCTTTTCTTTTTCTATTTATTTTGTTTTCCTACAGCAGTTAACTGTGCATTAGAAGCTATTTTTAATTGGCAATTAGGGGAGTATTAGTGAGTTCCATGGAGTGGTAGGGACAAGAGCCAGGCTGCAGTGGGCTGATGAATGGCACAGGAGGATGGGCAAGCAATTCTTCCAAGAAGCTCAGTTAGAGAAAGGCAAGAAATGAGATGTTAGCTAGAGGTGGCGAAGGGAGGCTCTAGAAAGTACTGTATTAAGAGAAATTTGAGCATATTTATAGACTGGGAGAAAGTAATCAATGAAGAGAAAGGAGGGGGGAAAAATAACTGTCAAGAGGAGATGACAGAAGGAGTCAGGTCTCAAGGAGGCCAGAGGGAATTAGACCAGGACCCAAGAGGAAGAATTAATCTTGCAAAGAAGGCAACTTCACCCTCGGAGACCAGAGGAAAGGAGGTGAGGACAGTGAAGTTGTAAATGCATATACATTATTCATTTGTTTATTTTATATCCTGCCTCGTTCCACAAAGGACTTATAAGATTTCTCTAGCTAAGTAGATACGCTGAAAGGAATTGGAAGTTGAGAAGATTGCCCCCTTCCTAGAAGGTCTTCCTTCTTGGTGGAGGGGGAGAAGGGACACCCACTGAGCAAAGCGCAGGAGTGTTGCTACGTGGCTTGAGGAGACAAGCAACAATTTAAAATCGTGAGAGAGAGGTGACTGAGCTGGACCATTTAGAAAGACCATTGGATAGAACTGACGGCCCAGACTTGGGCCAATTCCCATCTCAGCAACTGTGGAATTTTCTCCAACAGCAAGACCAAACACATCTATAGCCAGCAAGGACAGGAGACTCCTTGTAAAAATGGATCGTTCCATTCCAGAAACTGTCTCCTTCCCCCTCTTCATCACAGACTCCCCTTCTGTTTTTTCAGGCCAAATATGCATTACATATCCTTGGTCAAACCACCACTAACAAGAGGAGTGAAACTATCAAGATGGACATTGTCCAAACAGAACTAACTTCTGGAACTGTGCTGGGTCTGCCTTCCATTGGTCACATGGAAAAAACCAACCAAACAACAACGGACAATAGAACAAAATCAGGGCTGCAAGGGCAAGGAAAAGTTGAGCACTGGCTGGAGCATGAGTGACCAACTTGTTCCTGGCAAGGATGGAGACTCCAGGCCAGGTGATGTTGAGGTAGAACAGATGTAAACAGCAGAGGACTAAAGCTTAGAATTGTTTCTTAAATTGTATCTCAATACATTTGAGCTCAATGAAAACCTTTATGGAAGAGGCAGAAACTGGAGAGTTACCCCCAATTCATCCTTGTCCTCACCCCAGATCAATCCATTACCAACTTGTATAGTGTCTAAATTGCCATTCTCTGAGCTTCTTCCCCTACCTGAGTCACTGTTCTAGGCCACGGCTCACCTTCTGTAAGGACTCTGATGATAAAATCCTAGCTGGTACCTAGTCTCTCCTCCTGCATCTTCTCTGCTCTGATTCAGCCACATTATCTTGATTGCATGCCAGGCCCTTTGCATTGCAGACACATCAGAAAGGACACCTGCCTTGTGCTTGATGGTAGTACAGCCAGCCTCTCTATGGCTTCCTGAGACCCAGCTCTGAGCAGGTCCAAGCTCCCTAACTGCAAGTACAATGTCTTCGTGAAATTCTTACTATGAGCAAGACCTTCCATCTGACCTCCAACAGGGTAGAACTACTGTACTTTCCTCAAAGTGCCCTCCCCTTTCACACTTCCGCTTTTGCATATGCTGCCTCTCTGCCTAGAAATCCCTCTCCATCTGGCACACACGTCAAAGCCTCCTATTACTCTTCTCTTTCTCGCTCCACCTCCCGTCTCCAACCTCCTCACCACGCAAACACTGCACTCTAGCAATGTCTGCTGAACGGAGAGGATTCCTTGGGTCATACATTAGTCAGAACCAGGGCTTTGCAAACTTCTCCCCCAACCATCCTTGGAGAAAGCGGAGGAAATCAGATCCTAAGTGCCATGAACGCACTTGGTCCTGAACTTGCTCTTAGCAAGAATTTCTCGAATTTTATCTGCACTTGGTCCTGAACTTGCTCTTAGCAAGAATTTCTCGAATTTTATCTGCACAGGTTATGCAAAGGTGCTTTATGCAGATTTGGCTTTGCTTCAACACAAAATACTGTTTTCTCCACATTTTCAAATCACTAATCCATAAAGATGCTCCTTCTTTAAACTCATCTCCTTACACTAGCAGCCTTCCACCTGTCACTGCGACCCAAGAGAGACACAGGTATTTCTCTGTGCAGATGTTCAAGTTAACAGCTGGGTTCCACTTCCTCAGTGCAGGAGAGATAGAGGCGGAGACACAAGTGGGGAGGGGGTGTCCCTCAGGCTGTAGGCCCACCCCCTCTGCCCCCGCCCGCCGTGGAGGCGGGGTCGTGCAGGCCCCGCCCACAGGGGCGGGGAAGGAGCCTCGGCCGCCGGCTGCTCCAGCTCTCCTGGTTCCGGTTTAGGAGGCTGCGCTGGGACCGGAGCGGTGGCAGCTGAGCCGGCTACGGTAAGGGGCCACTCAAGGCCCGGGCTTGGCGCCGGGATCGGGCCGCTGAGTGGACCCCTACCCCTTCTCTGCTCTACTCGCCACGGCCGCCGTGCTGCTCGGCCTGGCTTCCCCCTCTCCAGCAACCACCCACCTCCGTCTTCTCCCCCTCCCCCCACTACCCCCATCCTGGGAGTACAAGCCCCCCAGGGCCTCCGCCCCCCTCCTGGATCCCCTTCTCCCAGTACCCATCCCCTCAGACTGTCCCCTCCCCTAGAACCTCCTCGCCAGGAGCCCCTCCTCTCAGATCCCCACGGCCCTCTCCCTCCAGCACCCATCGCTCTGCGTTACCCGCTACCTCGAGACCACCTTCCCGGGCTCACGTCCCGGGTAGCTCCTGCCCCTCGTCCTCCTTTCTCTGCGTTACCCCCTTGCCGGACAGCACCCCTTCCCATTCCCCGTAGCTCCTACCCCAGCCTCTCTGGGCCTTGTCCCCGCACCTATCCCTCGGTGCTACCCCTGTCAGCGCAGCGCGCTCTCAGCCGCGCCCCTGCTTCTCGGGCCCCCCGCCCCGCTGCCCCCGGCCCCGCTACCCCCGGCGCTATGGCGTGCAGCCTCAAGGATGAGCTGCTGTGCTCCATCTGCCTGAGCATCTACCAGGACCCGGTGAGCCTGGGCTGCGAGCACTACTTTTGCCGCCGGTGCATCACCGAGCACTGGGTGCGGCAGGAGGCGCAGGGCGCCCGCGACTGCCCGGAGTGCCGGCGCACGTTCGCCGAGCCCGCGCTCGCGCCCAGCCTCAAGCTGGCCAACATCGTGGAGCGCTACAGCGCCTTCCCGCTGGACGCCATCCTCAATGCGCGCCGCGCCACGCGACCCTGCCAGGCGCACGACAAGGTCAAACTCTTCTGCCTCACGGACCGTGCGCTCCTCTGCTTCTTTTGCGATGAGCCAGCGCTGCACGAGCAGCACCAGGTCACCGGCATAGACGATGCCTTCGAGGAGCTGCAGGTGCGCGGCCCTGCGAGGCGGAGGCGGGGCGGCCTAGGGGCGGCCCAGGGGCGGGGTCAGGGTTGGGCCTCGGGCAGGGCCCAGTCAGAATTGAGTCGAGGCGGGGCTACTGGCAGAGTCAGGGGCCTATCAGGATTAACATAAGGCGGGGACGGGGCATTAGGGGCCGGGTTTTGGCCCTGCCAACCTGGAGTGGGGTCGAGCCCAGGGCTGGAATGTGGTCTGGGGTGGGTGGGACCATGGAGACAGATAAGATCTGAGCCATACTAGGGACAGGGCTGGAAACCAGGCTGAATCACACCTGCGCGAGGGGAGGGACACAGTTAGAAGTCCTGGGGCTGAAAGTGGGGATAGATTCAGCACCAAAATGGTCAGGGCAGAGTGAAAGACATTTCTGTCTTTAGAGATGGAGATGATACTACAGAGATGGAGATGATACTATCAGCTGGACCAGGGTCTGGACTGCGGTCCTAGTTGAGACTATGCTGCACTGTGATCTTTCAGGTTCAGGGGCAGCATGGGGTGGGGCCTTCTTCAGGACTTAGAGGACAGGATCAGTACCAGAGCCATATTGTTCAGGACAGAATTAGGATCAAGACTGAGAGAAGGATCTAAGTTAAGGCCAAGGTTAAACTTGGAGGAGTCTAAGTTAGTGTCAAGAAACTGTGCTAAGGAGGGAGGGTATGGGTGCAAAGGATTGGATCTCTAGGGTCTTTTGATGATCTCCTTAGTCACGTCATTTACATCAGGACCTTTGAAAACTAAATGAAACCATGTATGTAGAGTTGTTGTCATTTGCAGTCGAGTCATCTGCAACCCATAGTGACCCTATGTACAGGAGTTTTGAAGCCTACACTGTCCAGAGCCAGTCTCACTAATTCCAACACATCAACCTCCATTGCCCTAGTTACTGAATCAATCCATCTCATCCTGAATCTTCCTCTCCTGCACAGTCCCTCCACCCTTCCAAGCATGA